CTTTGTCCTTGGAGAGCTGGGGGGCAAACAGGCTGCTCCAGCCTCTTGCCCTGCCCACCCGTGGCCGTGTTTCGGTCCGAGGGTCTCCCCAAGCCTGTCGACCCGTGCTGGCGGTCGCTGCTTGCAGGTTATTATCTGTGGCGTGGGAATTGTTGCGTTCTGCACTTGGCCGTTCCGCTGACGTTTCCTCTCTGGCAGCAGCTTCTCTTCACCTGGGTTTGAGCAGTTCCTTCCTTGAAATTTGTGCAGTACATATGAAGTGATAGTGAAGTTTGAGCTAAGGTTGAGAAGAAGCTCATGAAAACCCAAGGAATGCTCTGATTTCTAGTTAGCTACACGTCAGATTGATTAAACTTGAAACAAAAACTGCCTTTTCAATAAAAGCTGCTATTGTACAAACTACTTTTTCTGATTCCCCCCGCCCCCCGCCCCGGACCTGTACTTAATTCCAGTTCTCAATATTAAAATATAAATGTTATAATTCTATGAAGAAAAGTGGTCAGAAAACTCTTTATATTGTGACTCTTTTTTCCTTCCCGCTGGGTGAAGGTTATTTGTCTTCTAGAACTGGTTTTGCGATTAGTAGTTCGAGCTGTTTTGGTTTGTGCTATGCTGGAGTCACTGCTGATATTTTAAATCCACTGAGAATAAGTGTTATTAATGAACTTTAGTACGTTGTTTACTCCCTTAATTCTTGCAACACTTTATAAATCCTTTGTTGAGATTCAAACCTTGTTTTCAATAAAGAGCTCATTTCATATCTGACCAACCTGTGAAGTGGCTTGTTTCAGGATGCAGCCAGAAAAAAAAAAAGTTGCTTTTGCTGCTCGTTGGTACCCAGAAGTTGTCATCTCCGGTAGGAGCTCTGCGGGACTGGCCTGGGGGGTCCTCCGCAGAGACACATCGGCATCACATCTTCCTGCGAGTCGCGAGAAGCCTTGAAAGGTTGACACAAAGGGCCTTGAACATAATGAAGGTGTGTAAGTGAAACCTGTGTGGCTAGTATTTGAAAGATTCGGCAAGTGCTTAAGATATTGTCCCTTTGGAAAAGCCGGGGGGGAGTCGGAAGGAATGATCTTCCCCTCAAATCCAGCTGGTGCGCTCACAGCAATCCGGAGTTAAAGTGTGGCTCTGCCTCTTCTTTGGTTTCTCTAATTTGAGGATGCGTGAAAAACTGGATTTGGGGGGGGCGGGAACAGACACTCACGTAAAGCGTCTTCTCGTAGAACGCACACAAGAGGAACTTGCGCGAAGAAATACTTACAAGCATTCATACCATTGCATTTCTCCGCAGTGTAATCTCTAATGGGTATTTCGGGTGAATTCTTTGTTTCATAATGGGCTTTATGAGGCAATTACATTTTTAATAGGTCTAACTTCGCTTTTTGTTTAAAAGTCAGTCTTGATGCTTTCTTGGCTGAACATTAGCATCGTCCCCTCCCCTAGGTACTAGGGCACCGTGTGCATAAAGTATATAAAATTACTCAAAATGGAGAATTTTTACCTTCCAGTTTTTATATAGAAAATACTGTTAAATTATACATAGTTCATTTTTTAGGTAAAGTTTAATTTTGAGAGCAGATTTCAGGTTTCAGGGGTTTTTTCCCTTTGGAGACGTTCTGAAAGCGTGACATTTCAGACTAATGATTAGTCTTGATTTTTAATCCCTAGTTCCTTTTCTTAGTTATCATTTCCCTAGCGCAGTTTAACTCACGATAAAAATAGAGCGATGAGTAGAGCGTATTTTTTTAAATGGATAGTCAGTCTCTATGTCTGCTTGTTTGTCGCTGAAACCGGGGCCAAGAGACACAACCGTGAAACCCGAACTGCACGCAGCTGATGGCAAAACCCACTTTTATTTCGGCGAGCCAACGCTTCACTCTTCCTCATCTGCAAAAGAAGGAGGAAGAGACCCCGCTCTGCCAGCGCCGGGCTCGCTTTGTACTCGTGACACCGAAGGACACCGAGATCCTTGTGTTTGATTCCCTTGGGAAAAATGGAGTTGAAGTATTCGGGTTTTTT